TATATTCTTATTAGCAGGTCTAGCACAATTATCTTTGTTCTTAAAACCCATATTGATTCGTTACCAATAGAACTTCGTAGCAACTAATAAATTTCTATTTATTTAAGAATGACTCATCGATAAATTTGCGAACGAAGATAATCAGTGTCGTAATCGTTCGTAATGGACCGACACCTGAACGATTTTGAATTTTGTGAAATTTTGTTGGAAAGGCAGATGATATTAATTTACCTGATAGATGCAGTCACAAAATTCTAAATGTTTTCATAAGAGGAAACATGAATGAGTTTAATGTTTAACATTTAAATTCAATACACGTTTTGGTACCATCACTTATATGTTTCTAACGAATTTAATTCATGTAAAAAAAAGTTGTCGTAACCTTTACGGTACAAATTTAATTGTGGCTCGAGAAAAAATTCCAATTTCGAAAAATGGCTCGGACTATCAAGTAGCTTGACCACACATAAATTCTAGGATGAAAGAAAATGATAACTTTGAAACCGAGTGAGAAAACTCTTTGCATCAAGTAGTCAAACTGATTAGCGAACAAAACCATGAATAAACCTGTTGTCCCACCAGGGTTTTTTGAAGAAATCTTGTTAGTTTTGCCTGTTAACTAATTAATAAAAAACATTTAACAATCATTACCCTGTATTGTTCTCGATGCCTCATTAAATTCAACTTAATTCAACAATAAACTCAAAAAAACTAAAATATTTACAACAATTTAATTAATCGGACTGAATTTCAACATTATCTAGTTCAGCATTCTGAGCTCAATAAACAAGAAGCCGCTCGTTGATAGAAAATCTTAGATCTGACGTTCTTAGAAAAAAAAATGAGACAATGATTCTAGAAGTAAACTTGGATCATAAAAAACTTTGTCAAAATTTATTAGAGATGAAATGACTTCTTGCAGTAGCAAAAACAAGAAGGTAATTTGGCAAAATCGAATGGCAGCAATTGTTTTTATATCAACAGGACCGACTAGGCCCTTAGTGGGCCCTAGACAAAATGCTATATCTGGACCCTCAAACAATTTTTTTAAACTTTTTTTAACACTTTTACAAAAATAGATTATCATTGTTTTGTTCTATGTGTAAAAATAAAAATTTCTTTTTCCAAAATAAGCAAATTTATTATATAATTTATTATATCTATTACGATTGTTGTATTGTCATGTTTGATCATTCACATCTATTTAAATCATAAATTCATAATTTTTATTCGAAATCTCCTCTGTCGGATTTTAAATTTACGTAATCTCTTTTTCCAAATCTGCAAAATATTTGTTTATATTGCTTAAGCATAAACATTTTTGAAATTATTTGAATGTGAATTAAAATCAAAATAAAGAAGAACAAATCATATCCAAGACATTTGATCAATCCACAATTGATTTTTAGCCATTTAAATCACCACACCAGCCCATCAACATGCTGATGAACTAATCAATCGTAATAAATCATCTCAATTTTCAACCAATCATCCAACCAACTAACCAACCAGCCAACCAACCAACCAGCCAGCCAACCAACCAACCAACCAATTAACCAACCAGCCAACCAACCAACCAGCCAGCCAACCAACCAACCATCCAACCACCAACCAACCAACCAGCCAACCTGGGCCTTGAATTGTATTCAAAGTAATTTATCAAATCCTCCAGATATTTTTTGAACTCCATCTGTTGAGTGGGTTAATTCAATATTTATTAAAAAATTTAACTTAAAAATGTCATACATGGGTCTCCTAGTACGTTTTCTGCGATGTTTGCTCCTACAGACGATTATACGTAGTGAACATGCTTATAACTCACGTGGAGTGTAGATTGACAATTTTTGTTGAAAAGAGTATATATTTCTTGAAAAAAGTTTAAATTTCATGACAAAAGTTTAGATTTCATAACAAAGTTTAGATTTCTTGACCAAAGTTTAGGTTTCTTTTGCAATTTAGTAAAGGGCAATATGTAAAAACGTTTTTCAGAACTGCATGATAAATAGTCAAAAAAGACACGTACAGGTATATGAAAATATTTGAATGCCGAAAAATATTACTAAATTAAAGAATAAAAAAATATACATTTAAATATGAAAAGACAAGATGATTGAATTATGAGAATTAAAAAATAATCAAAAAATTAAACTTTGATTTCGTAAATTCAGGAACAAACCGGGTTGGTGCTTCTGAGATCCGGTCTGACAGGCTTCTGATAAGCACTTGTCTTCTGGACGAATGCCATCATACTGATGACAAGGAAGATGACAATGATGAGGTGGTGCTGATGATAATGGTGACGATGGCGGAGATGGTGATGATGATGAGTGAGATGGTTATGATCATTGTTGATGGGTTTTTCCGTCATGGTTTTTTCTTCTTTTTTCGATATAGATGGAGGAACAAATTTTTCTTTTTTCTGAATATAAAAAATGATGACGATTAGGATGATGATGAAGACGATGACAATTATGACAATGAACGTCATGACAATGGCGTATATATAAGTACTTTGATTAAAATATTTACGTTGATGAAGATTATAAGATGTGAATTGAAGTAGAAGTGAATGCTAGTTCTCAATATAAAACCCCAAAACACTAATTATTATTGCTTAAAAATTGTATTGCACAATTTACAAATAATAAAATAGATTGAATTCAAAATTTTACTAATTCATCAATCTGTTAAATTGTAGATATAATATTTCGCAATAAACTTTAAATGAATATAGCCACCAAAGGAAGCTTAAGAAATTTCTGTGAAATATAGTTTTCCGCCCTAGTCTCGGCCAAATTTATAAACCTTTGAATAAATACAACTCGAATTAAAAAACTGAAAACATTTTGTGGAAAAGTTGAAATTTACTAGTTGGAAGTCTTTTATTTTAAATTAAAACGACAGCTGCACATGAACGAACGGATGAATGAATGGAATGATAGATGGACGAAAAAAATAATGAATGCTAGGTTGAATGGAAGGGTGACTGAATTAAAGAGATAATTACTTTTAAATAAAGTATTGTTTCTGTGACAGCTCAAAACACTTGTTTTTTTTAACTTGATATATTTTAAGTTTTATTTGTATATAATTTATTTTAAATATTCGAGTGTAAAATTAATTTTAATAACTTTATCATAATTATAATTATAAGAACGGTTTTCAAATTATAACGATTTTAAGCTTCTTACACATATTTCTAACGGCACAAAGATACTTTTTAAAAACGATAATGGATTCTAAATTTTAATAATTTTCAAAATGAGTAAAAATAAGCAAATGTATTTATAAACACGGCCCTGGTGAAACCTAATGTTGGAACTGTCAGCCGATCTCAATTAATAAAGTTAGTTTAATTAGTATAAAACCAATTTATTTAGTGTAAAACCAATCTTGAAATGTACACAAAACCTAAACATTCCTTCAAATTTTGAAATGTATTTATGATAATAAAATATTTTTATATAAAAATTTGTGTAGTGCATTAATAAGTTGAATAATGAAGATAGAATTACATTATCTAAAACACATAAGTTGAGCAGCGCCAAAAATGCAGTGACGTTCAATATCAAATCCTCAATATGTTATTATTAGAAGTTTTAAAACTCGCTTTTATTTAAAATATTCTCAAAAGCGAAAAGATATATATATATATATATATATATATATATATATATATTTATACAGTATTGTATGGATTCTACCAAATAATTCATAACATACTCTATAAAATATGATCTTCCTTTGAAGACATAGGTTTGATTGTAACGCAAATTTCACATCCTTTGTTAGTTTTCTACTTTATCATTGGCTAATTTAGATAACTTTGACGGAGGGTCAAAATTTGAGAAATGGTGAAAATTTTTAATTTTTAAACAAATGCCAAGAAATTACCGAAAAGGTCGCTAAATTTGAAACGAATGCCAAGAAATTACCAAAATGGTCGCTAGTGTGGTCAAAAGCATACGACCTTTTTTTCAACATCCGACCAGAACCCTTTATAGATCCCCGCTAACGATACTAAGCCACCAGCTTTCGTTTTTTATTTTTTTAGTAATATTTTTATGAACGTTTAAATTTGCACTGAGTTTTTGTTCGGTTTTTAGAAGTTGTATGTTTCTACCAACATGATTAAAGTAAGAAATATCATGGTCTCCAGGTTTCCACGGACGAACAGCACTGACCTAGTTCAGTTGGTCGTTAGCATGAAATTATTCAGAGTGTTTGAACTGAACAGGTGTGGTTAAAATGTTATAATATATTACATTCCTTAAGTATCTTTAAAAAAAAATAAATGTACGGACGCAACTGCTCCTGATTGCTCTTGAAATTGTCTCCCTTTTAACTCTTGTCATACAAACAATGAAGTTGCAAATTAACTTTTAATTAAACACGTCACAGACAGACTGTGAGATGGCTGTATATAAATGAGATGCGTGCTTGCTTTTTCAGTTCAAATATTTTGTTTCCACATTTTAGTTTCAAGATCCTGAAAATCATTTTGAAAGAGAATAATCTATCTTGGTATTCAATAATAATATTTCAAATGTTTACATTTTCAGAAGGCTCATAAATGATATCTTATAAAGAAAATTTGTATCTTCTAACAAGCACAAACGCTACCACTAAAAATTAACAATTTTTAAAATTAATAAAATTTTTCTTCAGAGCCCAACTGATCATCCAACCAGACCACCATCACCAACCAACCGATCGACCGACCGACCCAATCGAACGCACCAGAAAAATGCTGCCCAGGTACTTCAAACTTCCCAACATCACAATTCTCGCCATAGTCCTTCTGACCCTTGGGTCGACGTTGTTGAGGGAAGTTAACGCTGAAAAGATGGAACCTCCTGTCAAACCAGCCGAATTCACCAGTGCGGAGGAAATTAGGAAATACGTAAAAGCTCTGGAAGATTATTATTTCTATCACGGAAGACCAAGGTTTGGAATTTAGTGAAATATTTATCATATATACAATACATATTATATATATTGGATTAAGACTGTCAGAAAAGCAATTATTGATGAAAATCACAGCATGTTCGACTTCCTGTTTAATTTTCCGATTTTCTAATCGTAAATCGTATATATATATATATATATATTAATTGATCGTAAATCGTATATATATATATATATATATATATATATATATATATATATATATATATCGTATATATATATGTTAATTGTAGATGGGAAGACAAAGTATTTATAATTTATATATTAGATAACAAAATTTTTTTTGTGAGGGCGCTAAATAAAGCATTAATTGTTTATCACAACGTCAATTTGTAAACAATTCAATAAAAATTTGTTTAACTGCTAAACTCCTTCGTCATAGGTTTGGCAAAAGAAATTACGCCAACGAATTGGAGAGTGTCCTAGGCTCCAAATGTGATATTGTTTGCGATAAATGATGATGATCCACCAAATTAATGAACAAAAATATAAAAATTATCACAAATAATAATGTTTTTAATAATAATAATAGTAGTAATATAATTATTAATAACGTGAGTTTTACGTATTTCAATTTTAATAAAAGTGACAATTGAATTTGTTTGTGAAGGAAATACACCCGCATTTGAAACACTTGCAAAAATTACAACCAGCAGACGAGACTGTCAGATACGTGCTGGTTCCCGCCGAGTTTTACTTATTTCGAAACGTCCTCGCTCCAACGGGTGGTTTACAAAACAACTTCATCACACACTGTCATTTTTTCTATTCAGAATGAATTAAGCAATTAAAAATTAATTTGTTAGAAAAATAATTCAACATAATTTTAGTTAAACTAGTTTTTTTTGTCAGCATTTTACCAAAATTATACAATACTTGATCAATCAATCCGAGGTAGGACGTTGTTTTCTTTGCTATCAACTTTTTGCGCCAAATTAGACGTTCAGTTGTTTCCATTTCATTTAAATTTTGAGCTTTCATGTCTTGCTCGATTGTTTGCGACCAGGAATTTTTTGGACAGCCTTTGGGACGTGTTCCTGGAACTTCGAAATCTGCAAGAAAAGTTATGGCACTGTTTCCACTTCGTTTGACATGACCAAACCACCGCAGCCGATGTTGCCGGCATTCGTTCTTTATATCATCTAAACCAGCCCGACGCAGGATTTCGATAGATNTGATGTGTCCTTCAGACTAATTCGTTGCATCCATCGGAGCATTTTCATGTCGGTTCGTTGAAGTTGTTGTTCCAGTTTGGTTGTCATTGGCCATGTTTCTGCACCATATAACAACATATGAATGTTAGTTTCATTGCATAAATTTTTAAATATTTTTTTTATGAATAAATTTCAACACCTTAAGATTTTTGTGACAACATGTCAATAGTTACATCGAATAAACGATGTTACCGTGATGTTGAAAAAAATTTAACGTGGTTTGATGCAAGGGATTATTGCATGAGCGAAGAAGGAGATCTTGCCGATTTTGATACTGTTACGGATTATCAGCTCGTGTCGACAAAAATGGAATTTCAATAAATTGTTTGAATGTTAAATGTAATAGTTTAATCTTTTATTGGAATTTAATTTGAATTTTTCGATCTTGAAGTGTCATTTACTATTTCTGTCGTTAGCTGTTTGATCACTGCAACCAAAGTAATATACGATTATCTTTAAAAATTGTCCTTTTTAATATATGTATATCCGCGCACGCGAAGATTTTGCACCATTCATTTATGACCCAGGTCGTGAAATCATAAAAGCAAACAGTTGATTCCGCTCAATAATTATTATTTTATAATTACCAGTATTTATTTCAAATAAGTTTACTCTTATTAGAATTTAACCATGCGGATTAACGCAATTTTAAGCAAAATCAGCAAACGCCCAAAAGAGAATCATATAATAAATGTTAATTTGAAACATGTGAAAAAATTGACGATGATTTATTCTATTATAAAGTTGAATTAAAGTAAGTTACACAAATCAAATAAATTTGAAGTACATCTTCAAAAATCACAATCAACAATGCTCCAATCATCTATCAGCTTATCATATGCAGGCTCAATGACCAATCATGCAAAATGAGATATAAAATGAATCGAACAGAAACATGTTATATTAAAATGGCTGGTTTTTATTTTATACTCGTCACGGTCGGGCATGTTAGCAAACATTATGGGATGTCTATCGTCCTCTCCACTGCATCCCCTTTCCAAAAACACTGACGTCACTGGAAAAATCGCAAAAAATGACTTCAAACTAGTGCAATTCACCACAAAATTTTATTTTAAAAATTTATCATTTAAAAAAATTAAAGAAACCTTTGCAGAAGTGTTCTAATTATTTAATGATTTAATGAATTTACAAAACTCAAGCGAATTAATATTAATTCATTTGTAGGAGATTTGTATAATAATTAAAAAAATCTCAAATCTCAATGGAAGGTAACCCTGGTGAACACGTTGGCGAGGTTGCTTGTTTCCATTAAGAGTTAAGCGCACAAGACAGGATCTATCGCAATAGATGGTTGTGTCGACGTTTAAGAAGCAGTGGCTTGGTACGGGATCGTCATAATTAAACTCGTTCCAACACGACGCACATTCAACGGAGGAATCAACAGTGGCCACTATGGTGAAAAATAAAAAAAATAAATAAAGTGATAATTTGACCTATTGGTCAATGTAGTCGATCATTATTATTCATTTAATTGCGTTTTTATTGTGATAAATATTCAATTAAATTTATTCTTATTTATATATTTTATTAATTTATTTTTCTTCCTCTTTCGTACTCGTTCTCTCTCTCTCGTTCTCTGCATTTTCCTTCTCTTTCCTACTAAACATATTTCAATTACTTAATCTCGAAATTAATATAAAACAAAGTCATCTCTAACCAGAGCTGCAAATTACAAGGAGCGACAGGCGAAGGAAATACATCTTTCTGTTCAGAAAAAAATGATTTTAAATATTATCAAAACCATCAATTCAACCGTTAACACCTTTTAAAATTAGTTAGAAAAAAATTTGAAAAAGTTATCAAAAGGTTCCTCTTAATATTTACAAAATTATAACTTTTTATTTTTTCTATTTAAAATTGAGTTCGTAATTTAAATTTACCAATTTTTCGTGATTTCCAATTGAATCTCTAAAATTTTACAAGTAAGCTGTTTTATCTCTTTTTATATATTATATTTGGTTTACAATTGCGCAAAGAAAAACAATTATTTCATAATAATATTTAATATAATATTAATAATAACTCATTAACATGAGCTTTGGTTTGAATGACCATGAAGTTTTTTCGAGATATTTTAATGTTTGATGCGTGGTTTAATGATCTGATGCAATTTTTATAATATTAATTACTTCCTAACTCTTTCTTTATAACTATTAAAACAATTTTGTCAATTGTTTCAATAATTTGAAAATTTTCCATAATTTTTTTTATTTTAAACAAATATTCAAATCGTTCCATAAACTCAAACTTTTCCATAATATTTTAAATGTTCTCAATTTTAGGTGGTTAACGATTTAATGAAATTGTTTCACAGAAAAATATTTACTCTGGTCACATTGTGTCAAAATATTCTAGTCCATACTTTCTCAACAAGAGTCGTCAGCCACTGAAATAAACAAAATGTTACATGAACTGACTTAACACAAACATTATCACAAAAGTTTCCAGCCTTTAAAAAAAGAATAAAGGTCTATCACACTCTCCCTAGGAACAGTGGAAACGACGCTTCACACACGAAGCAAATGATTTTTTTGTCATATTCAAATCGAGCCCGGTCATTGCTTGCCCTTCGAAACAGCACCAAATGACCTTAAACTCTTGTCCATCAAGTCACCTTCGATGCATTTTAAAAAGTTGAATAATGAAAATTTTTTTCAAATTGACCTTTGGGAGGTTGATTGATTTGGAATCTCATCTGGCCATAGTGTAGTCTGTTTGAGCTGACCTACTTGGTGGATGATGTCGAGTGGCTGTGGGGCGAAGTTCGATTCTTATGGAATGCTTATATCTAATGTATAAGTCATCCGGTGTTTTTATTTACTTTTTAATTTTGCTGCTCTTATGGTTTCAAATTTTCATGTTTTTCATACGGTCTTCATTATTGAGTCTCATTTAGGTACCTTGTTTTCTGTATATGACATTTTAATATATTTTTAGTTTTGCGGTCCGTTTTAGCGGGGTGATATTTACTCCTACGTTATCTATTATTTGTATTTGATTATTTATTTAATTTTATATGGCTTGTTTGTTTTAGTATTAGCAACAATTTATAAAAGTAGAGATACTGAAAAACATGTTTTCATATATTTCTTTTGTAAATACTCAACAAAAATCACCTGATACAACAAACTTTATTTTAATTGATTTATAAAATAAGCACAGATATATGAAATATTGTTCGAAGATTGACGAGATTCATCAATTGAATCCATTTTTGCGTTTTTTCAATTCAATTTGGACAATAAAATGTTCTAAAAAAAATTCATATATTTGAATATTCAATTGTCTCTTCTTATTGCATAATCACAACGACATAAGTTCCACTCTTTAAAAAGTTCCTTGTATTCAGGCTTATCTCTTAACTCTGGAAATTTTGTCTCAAACTCAACTGATGCGACACAATTGCCAAAATTTCGGTTGGTTAACACATCTGTCAGGTTGATATGATTTGAAATAATAACGGAACTTATTAATTACAAATTGAAATAATTTAATTTATATTGAGTATTGAAGTAATTGTTTTAGAATTGTCATTGAAACTAAAATATTCAAAAAACTTATTTTCAGTTAATTCTAATTGAAATTCCAAATTTTTTGTAAATTTTCTACCTCTTCTGATTCCGCGTGTGAACCATCAATTAATCTCGGAGAAATTTGAAGGACTTTTTGCTCATTTATAATTCGTTTCAATGTAGCTTTAATGCAATCCAATTATTTTGTAATGATTCATTTGTGATTTGTGACAATTCTTTCTAAATCATTAGAAATATTTGGATGTCCAGTTTCAATGTAGCTTTAATGCAAGCCAATTATTTTGTAATGAATCATTTGTGACAATTCTTTCTAAATCGTTACAAATACTTGGATGTTCAATATTTCATTTTATTTTTGGAAATTGTATTTTACAACGTAGCCTGATGCAATCCAATTAATTTCCAATTATTATTTCTAACTGTTCTCTACGAACTATTGAAACCAATCAGTAAATTGTTTCAATAATTTCAAATTTTTCAATAATATTTCAATTTTACACAAATCTGTGAATAATTTTTTTAATTAAAAAACTTTCATATTATTTTAATGTTTGATGGGAAATTTTGTGACTTCAACTTCGTCCGATAATTTGATATATTTGCCGTTTTTAACTTGTTTCAGAGATTTAAATCGGATGTGGTGTCAATAGTTAGCGAATAACTTTGCGTAGCAAGTTATTTCACCCCACATTTCGCTCAAACATGTCTTGTCGGGGTGTCAAAATATTTCAAATAATTCTCAATCCGGATATTATATCAGCCAGGTGCTTTGTTTTCTGTGCATGACTTTTTAATATATATTTTTTATTTTGACAGGGTGATTTTTCATTTACCGTTATCTATAATTGCATTCGATTATTTATTTGATTTCATGTGGTGTGTTCGTTTTTGTATTAGCAACAATTTATAAATGTAGAGACACTGAAAAACATTTTTTATATGTCTTTGTATATTTCTTTTGTAAACAATCAACTAAAAACATCTGATACAACAAATTTTATATTAATTGGCTTATAAAATAAGTAGAGATATGCGAAATATTTTTTGGGATATTGACGATTTTTTGTGTTTTCTCAATTTAATTAAAATAAAATGTTATAAAAAATTCATATATTAATATTCAATTGTCTCTTCTTATAAAACCATTACATAAAAGCGAGAGCCAATCGTCAAATAGGTCTCTGTATGTAAGAATATGTCTTATTTCAGGAAATTTTATCTTAAATTCAGCTGAAGTTACACAGTTTCCTCTAGTTTCGTTGGTTAACACTTTATATGCATCATAGGTGATCGTTCTATAACTGGTTACGGCTAATTCTTCCATATATTCACTACAGCCTCTTACCAGAGTCACAGATTTAACTGAAAAAGATCGTTGAATAAAGAGCAATTCATTTAATATTTTAATAATTTAGAAATAAACCGGTAACTAATTAAAGTAGTAATTTATTCATTATTTGAGCTAATTAAATGAACACCTTCGTGTAACAAAATTTTTACAAAAATAAAAAATATTGTAAATGTGGATGAAATCTAACTTGGATCAACGTAATAAATATGTACTGTCTTATCACCGTACAGAGTTAATTTTACTGAGCAGTACTCAGCGCACCTTACAAAGTCGTTGACGTACAGGAAGCAATGTCTGGGAATAAGATTTCCCATGGTAAAGTTGACTGCACACGATGAACATAGGTATGAGAGAAGCGTCAACGGCCATCGCTATAATACATTAACAATTCATTAACACAAATTTGTGTAATAAATAAAATGTAAATTAACTTTCTCACCGAAACAGCAAACTCCAAGGAACAACAAATGAAGCGAGTGCATCTATTCAGGTTGAAATAATTTGTAATGTTAGTGCAAACTTTAGCTACAATTGGGAAATAAATAATGAAATTTGTTTAAAAATGTTATTAAGCTATATAAATATCAGCTAAACTTTAAAACTCAAATTAAAATAAGTTCGACCCAAAATAAATTCAAGCTTACCAACATTTCAGATTTTAATTCTGAACCCTAAATCAAAATTGAAAAAAATCCACCAACTACGGTAATTGTTCGTTAAATTGTGCCACTGCTACAAACAAATTCTTTTGTATAAGAGGCTCGGACAAACCAAACTGTTTAGGGATTGAAGCCAATATAATATTTAGGTAGGCTGTGGGTAAACGAAATTTATAAACGAAAAAATTGTGAAAATTTAGACTTGAAATTGTTTCAGAACTTTTCCCACAAAGTCAATGATATTATGTCAAATTTTGTAGAAGCTTACAGGTTATAAGACAAAAACTGATAGAAAAAAAAATCGCCAATATTTTTTTTAACTTTCAAACCACCCTACACAAATTTCTGTTTCATAATAAAAACTTCCCAAGTTTTTCACCAAAACTAATTATAAAGAGTCTGAACTGTGATACCCGTTAACAATGTGAAACCTTCCATGATTTTTAATGTTTGATGGAAGACATTGTTTATTTCTTTTTCTATTCAATATATAATCTACATGTCATTTTAATTTTAAAATCATTTCAAGAAAGTGTAAGATATCATAAAATGTAATTTCTATAGGCAAATAAACTCAAACTTACGTTAAATTGTTTTTGAATCAATAAAAATGTACAGAGTATTTCAAATTCCTCTTCAAGAAAGAAGCATTAGACAGATTTATACTATCTCTCTGTATCACGTGATTTACAAATAAAATTCATACAAATGATAATTTATTACTATTATTATTAATCATTTAATTATCAATTTTATTTCATCGTTATTTCTGAGCATTCATATATAGTTAACGAGTTCTTCATAAACGTTTTTCCTCGTAATCAAACTCTTTAAATTATTTTTAAATCAGATAATAATTTTTGGCTCCCATGAAAAAAACATTCGCACAGGAATCTAAATTTTCAGTTCAATATCAATTTGAATTTTGAGATAAAATTTTTATATGTTATGCGTTCTAATTCTATCTTTTTATATATTTTATTTATCAATAGATTAAGAATGAAATCATGACAGATGAACATCACGACCAAAAATGTAATTAACTAGTTATTCTAATACACTGATTTGAAATTGAAATATAGTATTTGCCTCTAATCTTAATTCTAAGATTTGAACTGGAGTAGGTGTTTGTGTAATTACATTCAATATTTCAGCTTTCGCCAAATAGCCAACCTTTATTATTTTTCTGGATTGGCAATGATCGGTCGTAGTTTGTAAAAATTAATTTTCTTAAAGTGCGTCAAATTTTTGAATTTTGTTATGTAAAATGAAACACTTATACAACTTATAAGTGAAGAGGTGTGAAGTTAACGTATTCTCAATATTGCATGTATAGGATTAACATTTTATCGATCCACCTTGTTTTAAATGTGATATATGTTGATAAGCTAGCAAAATAAAGAGTGAACGAAAGAGAAAAGGCGGAAGAGAGAGAGGAGAGAGAGAGAGAGAGAGAGAAATTAAAAAAAGAGTGCAAAACGTTTTTTTTTCTTTTTCTCTTCATTTCTGAAAAAGGCACAGCCGTTTTCAAATCTTTCCTTACGTAATTAGTTTCAATTAATATTAATCCATAATCAATTTTAATAAATAAAAAAATCTTGTCTTATATGTTATCTTCTGTCGTTGTGACGGCTTGTATAATGACTTCACAGCGTAATCACATGCTTCCTTTTGAAAAAACACGTGGAAAGGAATAAAGTAAAGTTCGGTGAATTTCTTGCAAAATTGAATTATTCTTCAAACAATATAATCAGAAATACCTAAGTCACACTGTGAAATTAATAAAATGGGTCAAATGGAATTGGATAGTTCAACAATTGTATTTATTTCGAAATGTGGCAAACGTTTTGAATTTGATCGAGACTTGCTCCTTGAGATCAGCAATTTTTTTCAAAATCTTGTTAGCAGTGGAATGGGGGATGCAAATTCCAGAGAACTTAAATTAGAATGTCTCACTGAAACCAGCCTGCAACAAGTAAGAAAATTTTTAGCAAATTTTCAAACCAACAAGCAGGTAACCGACATCCAATCTACCGCTACAACAAAGAGGGTTGGGACGGATTTGAAGATGTTAGCTAGCAAATATGAAAGCATTATTAGCTTGGAAGCATTGAAGAGGGTAGAAGAAGGACTGATTGGTGCATTGTTCTTACAAATTGATAGTATGGAAGACATGTACGTTGAACTACTGTTGAAACAATTAAATGAGTCAACGTATATACGTATTCTGCAGTTTGCAAAAAAATACCTGTTGGGTGGAGTTATCAATAGAGCACTTGGTTATGTTTTAAAAAATTTTAAACAACTAGCTAAACTGCCCGAAATACTTACATTATCGTCAAGTGATATTTTACACTTGGTCAAAGCAGATTTTGTAAATACGGAACGTGAAGTCGACATTTTTAATTTAATAATCAGGTGGGTTTCTGTCGACGAATCGAGGAGACAATTCGCGGAAAATTTACTGAATGAAGTGAAGTATGACTTGATGACAAGAAAAGAAAAACAAGAGAGCTATATGGTTGCTCTTAATGAGCTCGAACTTCATGTGTGTCCTTCTGATAAGAGTCAGAATAGATTTTGTTCTGTCGGAACGATGCTCATGTCTGGAGACCCGATGAACAATGTGAGCAACTATTTTTCTCAAATGTGGTGTTTCATCATCAACAATTTGCTTGTATAAATATTTTTTATTCCTCGTCAACATCATTATATAATGCTTTGCCGATCAAATACAATTGAATGTTATGCAAGCCATCAACATTCTTCATTAGATTATAATTCTAAATAGCTGTTGAAACATTAAAAAACAATAACTTAACTTATTCTACAGTTTGAAAGTAGAGAACGTCAGAATATTTATTCAATACCCGTTTATAGTTTGACTAAAACTCACGAAAAGAGAAGACGCTCCAATCCACTCACGATTCCAATTGCAATCACCAAGAGACGAGGCCCACATTTTGATTCATCTTATTACGGAGCTTGTGTTGCCGATAGACGCCTGTACGTGGCTGGTGGGAGAAACAGAAGTCAATCGAGGAAGAGTTTTTCTGTTTATGATCCCATCTGCTCAAAATGGTCACGGGTTAGATATTTTATATAATCTAAAACTCAACATTTTATCTGTTTGGTTGCATGCTGGTTCGAAGTTCTAAATATGATGCTTCCACAAATGGTTGCAAGATTTGATCAAAATTTTCTTTTATAGCCTATCTTGCCATGTTTCCTCCACTGCTTGCCTTGTTTCTTTCATTGTCATCATCACTGTCATTTTCTTTGTCACAGTCAGTGTCATCAGAATCATCTGATTTAACCTCTTGCCCTGACTTGTAATCATCGCCATCAGATAAAATCTTCAGTTTCCGATTCATTCAAAGTGTCAGGACATGTGTCTGCAAATGAAAAAATAATAAATATGCAAAATAGAACTTAATTTATCCATAAAAATGAGTGACATTAGTTTTACTACACATATTAGCATTGGAAGTGTGTACACATGCAGCACGTGCAATCAAAGCAATGCATAATCCCAATGTCCTCGCACATGGTCATCATGAATAATCTGAAGTACAAAATTTGCTGTGACATATAACATATCTAAACTATTCTAAAACTAGGTAAAACCTTAGGCTGCTATCAAACCGTGCCGTTTTGCCCACCTAACAACATCTTGTGTGGTTGAAATACTAAGGAATAACCAGCCATTTTTAACTTAAATTAGCAGTAAATTTTTTTAATGAAAATTAGAAATGCAATTAAAGAATGGAAATAGGAAATAGCAAAAAGTAAAGGACAGGATAATTTGTTTTTATATTAAAGCTTTTTCATTTAAGAAATTGCACAGCTCAACTATTCAATAATTCCATATTTTATTTAAATTTAATCTGCATTTTAATATATGTCTATCTATATGAGCTTATTTAATTTGGCATCAAACTTATTAATTAACATTTTTTAAAGATAATTTTTTTAAATTAATATAATAATAATGATTTCATTTTTTTCAACAATTAAACAATTTATTAAAAATTTATCAATAATTTAATGCAAAAAATGAAGCGCTTTAGTTGGTCATGAATATTTATTAGAGGCGGAGCCAAATTTAAAGGTCTTTTAAACTTAAATATTAAAACTTAAATTTTTAACAATATTTTATGTGTAAACAACTTGCGGGTGGCATTTTACTCTAAAACTATTTAGGAATGATTATTACACAACAAAATTATAAATTTTGGGTTGTAATATTTATAAAAATAAAAACACAAAAAATGGCAACAAACCTTTCGGTTTTCAGTAAAAACTTTTCGCCGTAAAAGCGGTTACTTTGGGAAATTTTGGTGAACAAGAGCAAAGATATGAAAACGTTATGTGGTAGATACAATTATGGAAAACCATTTTTATGTTCTGGAAATTTTTAATTTGGATTTTCTCATCATCCACGCATGTGGACTCTGAAACCTAGGCAATGTGATAAGGCAATTTTTAAAAAAATGTATGAATTGTTACAATTTTCAAAATTAGTTTCATCAAACTTTCTTTAGTAAATAATCACTAGTAACAAATTCTACTTACCAAACCATGACCAGCTGCCGGACATGCACGTGGCACGATCTGAATTTTATTTCGGTGAGATGGATGGACACTTGTACGCAGTCGCCGGCTCGCTTGATCCCGAAAACACAACTCCGACGGTAGAAAAGTTTAATCGAGAAGAAAACAGATGGTGCTTGTTGGAACCTCTGCCTACCGCTGTTTTTAATTTGGCAGGTATGGTGTATTTTGTTATGAGTTTTTATTCTATGCTCATTTCACATTACGTTTTTAAAGGTACTGTGTGTAGTGGTATGTTATTCGTTAGTGGAGGGTGCGAGGAAACCCTTCTTGACGCGAGGCAAGTCTGTTGGTATGATCCTACACGCAACAAATGGTGCCAAAAAGCTCCCTTGTTGACAGCACGTTTTGACCACGTTATGGTTACTCTGGGGCAAAAGATTATTGTTGTTGGAGGATTGAATGAGTTGAAGTTTAGGAATGTAAGTTTGGTTTTGTTGTTATTGTTGCTGTAACTGTAGTAGGAGTAGGGTGGCCTATGAGCTATAGGGTGGCCAAGGCTAGATGGCCTATGAGCAACTGCTCATAGGCCATCTAGCCTTGCAAGTATCGCATCTACCAATTTTACCACATCTATTGGCCGTTTCGTAAGTTCTTCCACTCCAGCCATAATAGAGGTACTGTTTCGACTCCCTGCACCATGATGTTTTTGTTTTCGTTTATTTCCAGGCAAGTTCGTTTTTGTGAACCGGTTACAACATAATTTAAGACTTTAAGTTTATATTCTTTTTTTTTTAATTTAAATATATATTAAAATTTGATTTTTATTTCTAAAATATTTCAATCAAGAAATTTCTATTAATATGTTCTAAAATTATTTTAAAAATTGCTTGAAGGATGCAGAGATTTACGATTGCCAAACTGACCAGTGGTCATTTTTGATGTCGTTGTCTTTACCAGTCAGCATTCATAACTCCATCATCATCAGCAATCACCTCTATGTCTTTGGTGGAAGTTCTAAGCCTAATTTGGTTCAAGACATCAGCCTGCAGACATATTTGAGTTACGAGAGTTCGCCATCACAGTCCTTTGAAGTTCAGAATATTAATATCAGTGGTGAAGTTATTTTATGTAAGCAAAATGATTTTTACGATTACGGCTATGATACCGCTGTATATAAAGTTTTTATATTAACTGATGTCTTTTGATATGGACAACATGACGCTAGGAGCACGTCAGCAAATAAAAAATCCGTAGTATTAATATAATAAGTTTACTTCGCCTTGTATTTTTGTTTTTTAAAATAATAATGTGATAAATTTATTGCTTTAAATTGTTTATTTTTTTTATTTACCTTGTTTATTTGTTTATTTACCTACATTTTAATTCATTTTTGCAGTTTTTTTTCATAACTTTGTCTCTGTATTAACAGTAGTTCATTATTGCATTTCCTAGTTTTACTGCCTTCATGGTTTCAATTTTTCATGCTTTTTATATTTAAGGTTTTATTTAATAGGTCTTTACCTGTTTAATTATATCAGTCGGTAGCTTTGTTTTTTGTGTATGATTTTTTGATACATTTTTCCATTTCGACGGTAATTCTTCATTCACCGTTATTTATTTTTGCTGTCTTTTAATGCTAATTTGATATGAGCACATGTAACTCACGTTTAAGCCCATTTTTTTTATTTATTTTTTTATTAACATTACCAATATTTGTTTATTCATTTGATTTAAATGGTATGTTTGTTCTACTGCCAGTATCAATTTATAAAGATAGGAACACTGAAAAACATTTTCTATATGTTATTATTTATTTCTTTTGTAAATACTCAACTAAAAATAGTTTATACAACATTTTTTTTATAAAATTTTAGTTGTCAAATTCAGAACAGACAGGAAAAAATTAATCAAACTGAAAAACAACATATAGCATCTGCATAAAAACGTAATGAATGATGTGTTTGTTTTGATGTTAACATAAGTCAGCATAACTCGCAACAGAATACACCAAACCTGCTAAACAATGAACAGCGGTAGGAGGAGGTTCCAGCAATCAATCAATCAATTAGTTTATAAATATAATACGAGGTAGTTCAGAAGTATAGAGTATAAATAGAAGAGGGCCAAGGATTGAACCCTGAGGTACCCCGAAAGTAAGAGTAGAGGAGTTAGAAGTAGAATTATTGAGAACAACAGAAGAAAAACGATTACAGAGATAAGAAGAAAACCAAGATAAACAAGAATCAGTAATATTAAAAGAAAGATGTAACAGTCTCAAGAGAATAGTATGATCAACAGTATCAAAAGCCGAGGAAAAGTCAAAAGCAAGAAGAAGAGTAAGATTACTATTGTCACTAGAGAGCATGCACCATCTGTCTTTTTTAGTAAACATTTCTACTGTTGGAGTTGCATTTTCTGATTATATTGCTTGAAAAATATTTCAATTTTGCAAGAAATTCACCAAATTTCACCAAATATTGATTAGAAAAAGAAATCGACAATGTCTTCCATTAAACATCGTGGAAAGTTTCACTTTGTTAACAGTGAACCAAATTTTCACTCTTTATAATAGTTTTGGTGGAAAACTTGAGAAATGTTTAATATGGATTAGAAGTTAATGTGCGGAATTTGGAACTTCTTAATAAATGTCGAAAACCTCTTCTTGCCTGTGGCACTTTTTTTTATGATAACCTGGGAGCTTCTACGAAATTAGACTTAATTTTATTGATGTTGTAGAAAGGGTTCTGAAACGGTTTCAAGTTTAAATTTTCACAACATTTCCATTTAGAAATTTTGTTTTCTTACACCTTACCTAAATATTGTTATAATGTGTGGAGGACTTTAAAATGGGGTTTACGATTCCTTTGGATATGTCAACGACTATGTAAGGTGCACTAACTACAGTTTAGTGAAATTATATTCGTACGGCGATAAGTGATATGACCGAAGATTTTTTTCTTGTATAATTCTGTGATAAATTTATAGCTTCAGTTTTGTTCAATTACATTTAAATTCTAAATTTTGTTCAGGGTTTGTCTTCATAGCTTTATTCTTACCTTTCGTGTTGTTCACTTTAGCATTGTTTAGTTTCGAGTTTATTGCGATCGTTAATTTGTTTGCCAACTTTGTTAATGTTCAAGCAGTACAATTATTTTCTAGATTAATGTATTTTCAACGAAATGAAAATTGTTAAAAGCAAGTTTATTTCGTTGCAATGTTTGGTATAATGAGCAAACACTTTTCATTCAATTTATATAATGTAGGAATACTATGAAAATAATTTTCACGTAATATTGATTGCATTTTTTATTTTCAATTAAAAGACTTGGCAATAAATTTATTTTTTTCTCTATTTAATTAACAAATACGAAAATTTATGAGTGTACTGACAGCAAATTCAATAGTAGGTTGATGTTTTAAGAGTGCGGGTACTTCTCGAGACATCTTGAAGAGTGGAAGGCTGTGTAGAATTTAAATCTGAATCTCTCGTTCTTAGGATCTTGAAAGAACGCCGTACGATAATCTTCATATTTGAAGACGTAATTAGCATCTTCCTGACTCATCACTCGCCAAGCAGCGTTGAACGTTTCATAAATGGGCATGCAGTTGCTGATGTTCTTGGCACTGAAGTAGCCTAACCTGAACGCGTCGGCGTCCCCATACACGAATGCATAATCGTCCAGACTGTGCAGCCTCTATACAGATCGAACGTTCCAGCTTGACGGTCGGTAACAATGAAAAAATATTTTCAAATACAACAAACTTGAGAAAAATCTGAATGAATGTTATTAGTAAAATGTATTGAAATTACTTGAAGCATTGATCAGCATATAAGTAGCACAGCTTCCACAGTTGTGAAGCACAGGAGCGACTAAGAAGCAGTCCAGAGGGATACTTTCATTGACGTGGATCACTTACCACCAGAGCCCGCAAGTCAGACCCGCTACAACTGTGCCGTTGACATTAGGTCAATATTTTAGTTTAACTTGATAAATTTACAGGATAATTCCCAATCCCAATCTTATCATTTCAAATTCAATTTACAATCCCTACCTTTGTGTCCAATGAGACTAATAATAATCAGAACTTAATACATCTTGGCCTGGTTTCAAATAATAAATTGGTTATTTTGATATAGGAATTTAACAATTTGATCAGTTTTGTTAAAAATTCTTTTCTCTGTATTATTTTCATACTAAACATGCAACAAAACCATGATGTTATCTTAATAGAAGAAATAAATTCTATAGTCAAAGGTCTAAAATAAAATACAAATGAAACATTTTACAAGAATAGTAAAGCAAATATTTATAAAGTTTGATAAAAGGATATTTTACTTTGAAAACTTCAACATATTTCGAAAGTAATATTCTATCAAATTGTAAAATTTTTGAGAAATGATTTAGAAAAACGTATACACCTGAACTCACATTGAACTGACAACTGAAGTTAACGGAAATTTCAAATTCTTTCATAGGCCAGAAACAGCTCTCAATATCACGTGATACAATTATTCGCATTTAATTATGACAAATTTATTATTTCATATATATATATATATATTATATATATATATATATATATATATATATATATATATATATATATATACATATATATCATTATTATCATTTTATTCTTCTTCTTCATATTATTATTATTATTATTCAATAATTTTTCTTCTTCTTCTTCTTCTTCTTATTATTATTATTCAATAATTTGTGTAATCAAGTTTGGATGACAAATCAATATTTAGAGTTATTTTATTCGTGCTAACAAGCTTAAATGACAAATCTTTATCTGTAATAATTTACGACTGTTATCTGGAAGAAATATTGTCTGTGGCTCTTAAAAATGAATTTGTCAACATTTTTTTGTTCACAATTTTAATCTTATCTATAATTAAAAAACTTAAATTTGTCAGTCTGTGATGCCATTTTGGTTTTTGTATTTGTTTCCTTTATAATTTTTAATAATTAATTTATTATGGTATTATTATAAGCTATTTTTGTAACATAAATGCATCAAATGATTTTGTGATTATATATATACAAGATTCAACATCTAAAATTTTTTAGGAAATGTCATTATTTTTATGACTATTAAAATTTTCTATTATAATTTATATTTCCGTGAATGAGTAATTGAATTGAATGATTGAATAAATGAGTGAACGAATGAGTGAACGAATGAGTGAACGCAGTGGCCGATTCTAGAATGCTTCGAAGGGTGTGGGGAGTGAAAAATGTTAAAATTTTTACTGGAGGAAGGCCAAAAGTTTTACGGAGGCGTAACATTCGTGGCTAGTGTGGCTCACAATGGGGAGCCTTATGGATCTGCCACTGAGTGAATGAGTGAGTCAATGAGCAAATGAATAAGTTTGCTTTGTTACTTTAACGATATCATTGCCAATATTACGAACCTTTTATTGCATTTTTATGTAATCATGTCCAGGTTTAGAGATTTGGATGTCTCAGGGCTCTCAATTATTTCTAGAGTCTTAAGAGGGTAAATAATATTTACAATTTTTGTTACGTAATCAGCATTGTCGTTGAAAATGCCATCAAATGATTATCTACGGAGTCCAATTTTTCTTCTGAAGGCCCTGAAGCAGTGCACCCCCGATCACGGTCTTCAATGTCTTCATGGTCAAACGTATTAAATCAAGGAAATAGGCACAGCCGTTGGAAAATTTGAACTTGAATTTTGTTATTTGTGTAAACTTTACAAGAAGCAATGGTGACAAAAAATTTGCGGTTTCTATAGATAAAATATAAATTAACTGAGCCAATGGCTTACTGGGGTGCAAAACATTTTGAACGGAACTCAGGTTTTGATACAACTACGATTCGTTTCACGACCCCTGTGCCAGGGACTTTGAACTGTTTGGTCTCGCACGTTCTAAAATTATCGGTCAGTGCTTAATATTCATTTTTAAAAATACTAATTCATATATTAACTGTATTGTCATTTAGTTTAGTTTATTCCCTAAATTGAATGTATGATAGAACATTTCATCATTGACAAGTGAATGACTCGTACAAATTGATCAACAAAAAATATATAGTGACGAAAATTTGAAATAAATTAAAAAAGTTTTCAACAATCATTTACGAGAAGGTTTTTATATACTGAAGTTTGATCTTTTGTTCACTAGTTGTAATATATTTGCGTAACTATTTCGTTGACAGTGTTAAAAAAGAGGCTATTGAACAAATGTTTTATAAGAATCATTTCCCTGGTAGGAAATTCATAAAATATACAAATATATCAAAAGTTATGAGTGAAATATTTCTAAAAGAAATTAAGAAAATAATTCACATGTAAAAATGAATGTTCAAATGTTTTGTTTTAAAAATAAAAGACTGGACTTTAGAATCAGTGTTAAGAAATGTCTGAAAACATGATTTTATTAAATGTGTAGAGTATACGCTAAATCAAAGATATAACTAAGCTCTCACGAACGTGTATGTAGATGAGTTCAAATTTATGCAAAAAAACAAAATTAAAAAAATTTGTTTGTAATGTGCAAAGAGTTTATTTTATTGGAAATTGTTTTTTGAACTATATTTAAAAAAATTAATATGACAATTTTGGAAACAATTGCAATTTATGTGGGATCTTTCATTTTATCATGGATGTGTTATCAATTCATCTTGAGATGCTACAAAACTCGGAAAGATGATTCGAAAATTAAAAGGCCTCCATGTCTTCCACATATTCCTCTGCTCGGATCGCTGCCTTTTATTTCCGACCCCAAAAGATTTCACGTCTACTTTTTAAATAAATCCAAAAAGATCGGAAACATAATTGCTTTTTATATGGGACAAAAGTAAAAAAATATTTAAGTCTTTTTATCAATTATATATTATACTGTACTTATAAAGCACACATGCCACGCTAATTTCTTCATAATTAAAATTGTAATTACAAGGTACATGGTTATTTTGAATGGTCGGCAGACAATCGAGAAAGCGTTTGTTGGTAGGGCGTTGGCATTCTCTAGTCGCCCTACATTCTATCTCACCTCTCTCTTCAATCCCGGCCAAAAAGGTGAGTTTAAAATAAATATATTTCTTAAATTTAAAAGGTACAATTTCTTGTTTGGTCAGGGCTTGCTGAACATCCGTACAACGAAACGTTCAAGAAGTACCACAAAGCTTGCCTAAATGTTCTCAAAAAGTTTGGATTAGGACAGGAAATGATGGAATCTAGAGTGAAAGCAGAGGTGGAGCATCTCATTCAGAGAATAAAAGTCAGAAAGGGTCAACCGTTCTATCCATCTTTAGACCTTACTGCTACTTTTTTCAACGTGATCAGCAGCATTTTGTATGGCAAACGACGGTCCGTTGATGATCCCGAGTTTCTCCACATAATTGAATTATCAAATTTAGTTACGCGAACATTTCTTCTAAACTGTTTTCCAATTTTGAGATTTGTTCCATACTTCAAAGGTCGACTTAAAAAGTTTGTCGAAGGAATGAAAAAATGGGACCAATTTATAGAGAAAAAAATTCATTCAATTATAAACGGTGAAAACAGCGAAACGTTCAGTAGCAAATTTGAGGAGGAGTTGAAGCTTATTTCCGATGACTCAACTATGAGCACATTAGCTGATAAAGAGCAACACATATCAATGATTTTTGACTTGACGACGGCGGGCACAGAAACTTCGACAAACACGGTTCTCTGGTTTCTCTATTTCATGGCCAATCACCAAGACGTGCAACAGCAAATGAGAGATGAGCTGGATAGAGTCGTCGGTCTCAAGAGATACCCATCACTCGAAGATAAGCCAAAGTTAATCATAACGGAAGCTTGTACATTGGAAGTGATGAGAATTAAAACACTTGCACCATTAGCCATTCCTCATATGACTTTGAGAGATGTTGTCGTTGATGGAGTGTTCATTCCCAAAAATGTCACAGTCCTGGCAAACTTGTACAGTGCCCACATGGATCCTGATGTTTGGGATGAACCAGAAAAGTTCAGAATTGAAAGATTCCTGAATGAGGACCGAACCGAAATTGTTAACAAAAGTCATGTGATTCCTTTTTCCATCGGTGAGTTAACTCATTTCTCAATGAATATGCTATTTGATAAAATGGAAAAAAAGAAATTATTTTGAAATATTTCAGGCAAACGTTCCTGTCTTGGAGAACCACTGGCCCGCCAGGAATTGTTTCTCGTGGTTTCCACACTCATTCAGCAGTTTCAAATCTTACCACCAGATGGAGAGGACATGGTTGTTGCCAATGAAATGTATGGATTTGCCGTATTTCCCAGTCCTTTCAACATCAGATTTGTTGAGAGGATTCACGAAGAATGACAAGATTGCTACGTTTTTCACAAATTATTTACAGATGACAATCAACCGACTATGATGTACATTGCTGAAAACATTATTACATTTTTATCATTCATGAAGCAGTTTGAAAATCTGTTCAATTACACTTCTATAATAATTGTTAATTAATTATTTAGTGATAAGAATGTTACGTATTAGAGTAACATGGTGTGTTGAACGCTAAATTGACTATGTTTATAAAACGTATGATTAATTTGTTACAGTCATTTTTGAGTTTCTTTCGTTATTAATAACACGATTGTTTTTACATCAATAAATGTTCTACCAGGCATGGCAACGGCTGTTTTAACAACAAATATCGACTAGCCGTTGAATCTGACGTAAATAGGTCATAAAGAGGGCTAACCGGATTTTTTATTAGTTTTGTTTCCAAAAGTTCTTCATTTTAGAGAATGTTCAGCATTAACAAACGAGTTATGACAAACAAATAAATTTTAGAGAGATCTATTCCAGGAAAGTTTCAAAGCAGTTTAAAAAACTCTCCCTACCGATCATTCATTCAAACAAAGTGTAAACAAATGTCCGCGGTATTTATATGCGACATAACTGTCGCTTCAAAAATGTTTTTCAAACTATAATTTAAAGATTTATAAAAAAATATGTATCATTGTTAGTTACTGAAACATTATTATTATATAATAATATGTCTTCATCCAAATTAAGAAGTAGTGGTGGTTTAAAAGAACCCAATCTTCAAACAAATAAATGAATGACTTGACAAGAAACACAGACTTGAAAATATGTTACACATGTTTAAAAAATGTTTTGTCGTCGCTAGTGCCATATTTTATATTAAGTTTCTTCACGAGCAAAAATTTACTATCCAATTATGACAATGTCTGTGTTTGTTTGTGTGTGTATACAATTATAACAATGTACTCCATGTCTGTGTGTGTTGTTATCAAAGCGAACCACCTTCATTTGTTCTTGCTTTTCACAAGAGTGTTTCAACTCTGAAATGTAAACATAACTCTTTCAATTGAAAACACAAATCTTTGTTATGTTTCTTTTCACAAAATTGCATTTCAAATGAATTTTTAATATTACAAACTGTCATTCATGTTAAGCGTATCAAATTGACATTCCCCATTGCTTAATCTATAACAAATTTGAGTTTCAATGTAGCAATCAATCATATCAATGATTTGTAGATAAAAGGCACCATCCAACACTGCTTCTACTTCATTGAACGACTTCAGGCTAAGAGCTCTGCTTTCCATCACGTTGGTTGACCACTTGGATTAATAATCCCTTACTTCTATTAGGGATTTATTAGTTAAATATTCTAACGTAAGCTCTCTATAATTGGCATCTCTCATTCCACTGGTCACCAAACCTTGGAAATAAATGCTGGCCTGCAGTAGCACGTTTCTGTCAACTTGATGACGGCTTCCTGATTTTGATATTAATACAATTCGCTCCGTCGTTGAACCAACATTACTTTCCACGTCGTCTGCATCCCTCTTCATTTTCAACTCTTTTACAAATTCGCAATAAATATGAATTCAGATTAAACGACTACAATTTTCTTTATTCATTTTTAGAATAATTTTAATAGACTGAAATATTCTTTAAATAATATTCACTCGTTCCAATATTTATACATTTATTCATTAATTTTACAATCTCCGCACTATACCTTATTTTACTGTGTTCCATGTTTATTCATCTACATGTGCTTATATTTTACTACGTTCATTTACGCTTATATTATTTCATAATCATTCACATTTACAATTTACATTGGTTACAATTCACAGAGTTCTCGGCCTCGAAATTAAGTTTCCTTACGATGACTTTATTATCAGTAACTTACAGAGCTGTGAACAATAGTAAAAAGTAGTGTCACTACCGCTGCTGCATGTTAAGTGTAGCGTGGCTATCACGATTTAAATGTAAAAGTTGCGACAAATTTCTATCCCTACGGCTACTTTTTCAAACTATCATGTAAAAGTTAGAAACATTTGTAATACTGAAACGTTATTATAATAAGACGCGTTGAAACCAGGGCATCGAACTGGAACTGAACCGTAACCGAAAACCGTTAAAAACCGAAATTTTGCTCAAAACAAAAACCGTAACCGAACCGAAATATTGTTTGCTAGTTCGACCGAAAACAGTAACAAAATAAATAACGGTTTGATGCTAAAAATTAAAAAAAAATATTTTTGTCAAATTCATTAAAAAAATATTAATCGTTTAAATTTTGTCCACTACATTGTATCAATGATAACTGATTTCTATGAGTTAGTCATCAATGGGTTGTTTCGTAACGTTGAATGGTCTGCAGTGAAGAAGCTACATCTAGGTATTTTACTGTAACGCTTGTTTGGTTGATTGCTTGTTTAAAAAATTAGAAAAACTTCCAGAACTATTTTTCCATCTATTATCAAAAATTGCTGGCTGAATTAGTGCTTTGCTACTCAAATTTGTATTATAAATGGTAGACTTCAAAAAAAGTTACACTTTCAGATTGCATTTACTGCAAATTTGTCAAGGTTCTTTGGAAACTCACACTTTTGAAATCCTGAAACTAAACTCATTAAAAAACCTGACGGTAGATGCCAACTTCTTGCATACGAATCACTTAACCCATCGGCCAAAACCTTCAAAGTCATAAACTATTTTTGTAGAAAGACACAGGTTTGTACTTATTTTTCTCTATCAGCAGAACAAAAAATCTTTTGCGTAAAACGTTGAGCAGTTTTTTAATTTGTAAATAGTTTGGCGAGTTTGACGAATAAATTTTGAACGCATAAGTTGAGTGTGTTTTGATTATGTCTGTACAGTTGATTTGTGAAAGTTGAGGATGTCCTTTAAAATCATTTGTAACGATGGGGTGAAGATTTTTCAGAGCGTTTTCTCTTTTTTTATTGTGTTATTTTTATGTAAGTTTTATTTTTTTCAGTCGATCATAGAATAAGATTATTTCTCAAGTTTTGTCTCACATTTTTATTAACAAATTTTCACTTGAATTACTGAGTTTTAATAACTTTAACAAAAATCAACATTTTGGTTTTCATAATTTAAAAGGATATTATTTAAGCCATTATTTATTATTATTATTAATATTGATATTTAATTTTCACTGTCAATTTCCGGTGGACAATAAATTGACATTTTTTAGCTTCCTTAGGCCTCCCATTTTTCCCAATCGCAGCCTGAATTTTTCCAATCTTTGACAGCTGCTTCATATTCTTTTCTCTGCTCAATTGTAAGTTCGTGGCCAAGGAATTGCCAGTTTCCAGAGTTACAATTGCTTCCCAACTCAACGAAAAATCTTTTGATTGAATAGACATCTCCGTTCACTGTGGTGTAAGTATTCTGTTCCTCTTTCTGCGTGCATCCTCTCTCGATTTCAACAGTTTTACCTGCGTATCATTGGTTAGAAATTTTTATGATAAAACTATTTTACACGCCAACAGTTAAGACAAACTTCAAGTGTGGCATGTTGAGAGTAGAAAACTACAAATCACGTTGTACTAACTTTTTACATTTATTTTTAATTCAGAGTAACAGCCACGAGATGCTTTGTCGTCACAGAAGGCCAGACTCATTTTTTCACCAAAACAGCCGTCGACCAACTGGTTGTAGTTAGCCTTTCCAGTGCAGATAGCACAGAACCAGCCCGATGAGAGCACTTGCCCACCTACATAATTTATTCTATTTTTCAGAACTTGTAAGAGTTAGACTGTTATCACTAACACTTTCAAGTTTTGTTTTATGAAAAGTGATAATTAGTTTTTTGATTGTTATCTGGTTGACACCAATAAAATCGTCGTCAATAATTGAAAAAAATTTCTCATTTCAATCAGTTTTACAACTTTCAAACAATGGAATGTTTTTTAATTATTGAGGATTGTTACAAATAATAAATCAATTAAATAATTATTAAACTCACATCCGAACACCGCGAGCATTAGAACAGGAATCAACAGGTTCGCCATTCTGAAATCTGTTTGGAAATTTAGGTTTGTTAGCTTTAAAATTGTAACATCGACACGAAGACATCTAATTAGAATGCAATAAAGTAAAATTCTCAATGACAAACACACACACACAACTAACATAAAAACTTACTCTAATGATTTTGCCAAATATTCTTCTTCCTAGCTTCAACATTTCACATGCATTTATAGGATTGTTTCCCCGCAGAGCCTATGCCATTTTGCGATATAAATTATTTACATTCTCGAACTTTTAGCCACGCTGATCAAATAATAATTTTTGAAAAAAACGTTAACTTCTACGGCAGAGTTTAATTTTTTTATTACAATATTTGAAATATTAGAAAGTAGTTGCGCATATTTGTTGTATTTTTATAATACATTTCACCAATTTATTTCCCAGCAAATGAGCCACGCAATTGCAAATCTTCACTCTGTCGCATGATAAACACGACCACACACTTTCATCCAATGTTTGAACAAGTGTTCGCTTGGATTTCAAATATTATTGTATGATATACTATATCTGTATGAGATACTATCTGTTGGATACTAGCTGTTAGATACCATCTGTTAGATGCTAACTGTTAGATGCTATCCGTTAGATAGTCTCTCATATATCTGTTTGATTTGCTATATTTACTTAGCAATATTTCATGCTTTAGCTAGCGCTCATACATTCATACACGTACTATTTCGCATATTATATGCCTGCATAATAATCTTTTTCATGCATTCATACTATTACTTTTTACTTCGTTATACGCCAGAATCATCTGCAAAATAATCCGCGTTAATATTTCAACTTTGACTGATACATTAATTCATTTTCAAAATATACTATTGAAATGCCGGCCATTTTAAAAAACTAAATTTTGCGCGACTATTTTCAATTTGTTTCAATTCAAAATTCAAAACTACAATAAAATTGTTCAAATTATTAATCTACTCCACTTCATTCTCCACGTCTCAATTTTGTTTAGAATTCATTAAAAATTTTGAGAAATTACTTACAGCCATTTCTGTCCCGTTAACACTTTTTTTCATTTTTTGTCCATCTAATGATTCTCTTAGGGGGTCTCGTGGCCGAGTAGTTAGCGTGTCCGTCTAATACTCCCACGACCCGGGTTTGAATCTTGCAGTTTCTGCAGGTTCATCTGGGTATCCGACCCTTTGCCAACTTAGCCGTCCATCTTTCCGAGGTCGGAAAATTGGGAGACGATGTAAGTTGTCGCATGTTGGCCGGCGAGATGGCTAAGTGGTTCAAATGCGCGCTGAGTTAAACAACTCAATGGCTATCATATACTCAGCGTATATGATGCGGTTGACAGCAAGTAATGGCAACATATCGTCTACAACCTTTGTCAAAAAAACCATCGACAACTACTACAAAGTTTTAAAAGTCGATGGTCGCCAATGCCCTGAAAAGTATAAGGCAAAAAAAAATATTCTTATGGTTGATTTCTGTGTTTATCAAGTACCTACATATTTTATTGCTACTTTTTGTTTCCTAAACTAAATTTGTTTATAATTTCCAAATTAAGCGCTTTTTTTGGACGCCAATTTGGACGATTTTTTAGCGCATTCATTCTGAATCTTTCATTTTAAAGATTTTTTTGAAACATATTTTTTTATATTTTCTAAATAATACCAACTCCAAAAATGAGATCTTTCTCTGCATCTGATCATGAATTTTTTCTTTTTCTAATTCTAATACCCATTTTATCAGTTATACTTTGCCCTACTTTCTTTACCATTTTTTCCGTACTAAACCTGCCAAAATGTTTTGTCGTTCGAAATGGAAAATGTGAAATTCAGACAGCTATTTTGACAAATTCTCATCTGAGATGAACATATTGAGAAACACGCATAATTACAAGAAGTCAGAACACGATACCTTAAATTTTATAATAAATTTGAAAACCTATTTAGTTTTAAATTTGTAATTCAAGTCGTTTTAAGAGTCGTTTAAGATCAGATAAGGTACTTTGTTGGCGTTGCAGTTTGGTTCATGTTTGTATGGCACGTTTTTCCATTTAATTACCCATTATGCGTGTTATGATGTAGTTTTTATTTATTTGATTCATTCTAAATCGAGTGTCAAAACAGCAAAATTTTTTATGTTTCACTCACTCGAATTCAGTTTTGAGTTGTAAAAATTTATACAATTTCTTTCCTTCGTCAATCAATCTATCAATCAATCAGTCAGTCAGTCAGTCAGTCAGTCAGTCAGTCAGTCAGTCAGTCAGTCAGTCAGTCAGTCAGTCAGTCAGTCAGTCAGTCAGTCAGTCAGTCAGTCAGTCAGTCAGTCAGTCAGTCAGTCAGTCAGTCAGTCAGTCAGTCAGTCAGTCAGTCAGTCAGTCAGTCAGTCAGTCAGTCAGTCAGTCAGTCAGTCAGTCAGTCAGTCAGTCAGTCAGTCAGTCAGTCAGTCAGTCAGTCAGTCAGTCAGTCAGTCAGTCAGTCAGTCAGTCAGTCAGTCAGTCAGTCAGTCAGTCAGTCAGTCAGTCAGTCAGTCAGTCAGTCAGTCAGTCAGTCAGTCAGTCAGTCAGTCAGTCAGTCAGTCAGTCAGTCAGTCAGTCAGTCAGTCAGTCAGTCAGTCAGTCAGTCAGTCAGTCAGTCAGTCAGTCAGTCAGTCAGTCAGTCAGTCAGTCAATCAATCAATCAATCAATCAATCAATCAATCAATCAATCAATCATTCAATCATTCAATCATTCAATCGATTAATTAATTAAATACAATCAAGTCATCAATCAAGCGCCAAATCAATGAAACAATATATTAACAAATGATCGGTCAATCAAAACAATAACTCAAAATTCAAACAATAAACCAAACAAAAGCAAACATATTCAATGAATTAATGAAAAAAGTATTTTAGACGTAGCCAGAAGATTTCTGGAGAGGCAAACATTTTTGATTAATAAAAAACCGTCACTTCGACAGATGGGGATGGTTTCAAATTAATTCCGTATTTATTCTTATTCTGTCCAGATAAGATTTTGTTTAAATCTGCTTATTCAAATTTACAATTGTTTTTCAATTAATTGTGTTTTAAGAAAAAACGAAATGTCGACAATAAACAATGTAGGCTTAATGGAGCTATGAAACTAATAGATTATTGTAATCAGAGGGATAGCCAAGAAATGGGCGATCTTGGGCTGAATGGAATAGCACCGGTGTTAAAAACAAATTTTGTTTCAAATTGTGTGTGATAAGCAAAGAAAATTTCGCAAAAAATTAATTTTCCAACATGCAGATAGAATAAATTATAAACATAAATGTAACAGTTATTAATAAAATGAACTAGAAAAATAGTTTAAGACATAAAAACAATAGAGATGTTTGTGAGAACACTGTTCGTTGTTAGGGTAAATAAAACTTTTTAACGAATTTTACCAAGACTGTTTGATTTGAATTGTCCTGTCATGTTCATCTCATTAAAAGATTTTTTGGAGGTAAGAAGGATATTAGCTTCATGCGTTCATTATATTTTGAAAAAATCTTATACTAACATAAATTTTGAATGTGGGTGGTTATATATTGACGCTACCATGTAGAAGATCAGTTCGAGGACTACATTTCAATTCCAACACTCCTATTCTGCCTATTCTAGTTTTATGCGTAATCGCTTATGTGGCACTTTATCAAATGCCTTAGCAAAGTCCAAATATACTACGCCTACAGCTTTACCACTATCCAAGTTGACATAAACCTTTTCAGAAAACTCCAGCAGATTTGTTAGGCAGGATTTTTTGTTTACAAAACCGTGTCGACTTTTTCGAATTATATCATTTGTAGATAAGAGTTCTATGGCCCAGCTTTTGATTATTTTTTTCTAGTACTTTACATACAATGTTTGTTAAGCCGACTGGCCTGTAATTGCATGGTTCTCATCGATCCCCCTTTTTGTATAAAGGTACTACTAATGCATCCTTCCAGTTGAATGGCATCTTTCCAGGTGAGAGAGAATTGTTGTATATCGTTGCCAAAACCTGACTTATTTATATTCTTCTTTTAAGATTTTTGGATGAAGCCCATCAACTCCTGGGCTCTTGTTCTTTTTCAATTGTCCAAGCTCAAATACAACTTCGTTTCTGTAATTCTAAACTCCTTACCAAAGATGTTCCAGTTAGGCTTACATTTAGCTACTGGTATTTTTTCTTCTTTTTCATGTGTGAATAGAGAACCAAAATAATTATTTAACAGCTCCGTGGCTCTAGCGTCAGTCTCCATTAACACGTCATTTTTATTTTTAAGCGGGCACACTCTTTTTTCTTTTTTATATTACATAACAACAGAGCGTACTAATAAAAAAAGCATTACATAACATAATCTTAAAGTTATATAACATGTTTTAACAACATGGCCTAAGAAGACATAACATAGCGAGACACGACACAACCTGACGTGTCACAGCAGAGTTAACAAACAATGTCATGATAATCATTATTTTCATCAACATATCCATCACTACCATTGTCCTATATTAGTAAACATCATCATTGTACAAAATCATCCTCATCATCAGCTTCATCATCGTCAACACTGTTATTCTTGTCATCAATATAGTCATCCATATCACCATCAAAGTCTTCGTCATCGTTATAAACATTACCATCATTTTCTTCACCATCACCATCATCATATAAAGAG